AAGGAAACAGACAGTTTATCTGTCTGTCTGTTGTGATTTCAGCACACGTACTTTGAAGTCTCCGTGCGGTAAACACTGGCGGGTCCGCGCCGTGGCTTTTACGAGGGCAGGGCCGGCAGACGGACTTTTCTGAACTATTAGCGAAGCCGGTCGGAGAGATTCCAGAGCGTGATATCAGATCTTCTCTCTGTCTATCAGGTCTTATCTGCATCTGCCCAAAGGCCTGCTGCAGGGCTGGGTGTGTGTGTGTGTGTGTGTGTGTGTGTGAACTGGCAATTTACATCCAAGTCCCTGGTGGGGAGTGTGTTAGGTTGTGCACATGTCTGTGGCGTGTACGCATGAGGGCCTGACAGTCCAACAGTCCAGACGCTATTTCCATCTCAGTTGGACCGAGACGTGTCGTGAAATGTCACGAAAGGTCTGGAAATTTGTGAAACTGAAAAAAAAAATAGGCTTGAACTCAAAGACGAGAACATTCTGGAGAGTTAAATTAATTAAATGGCTGTTTATTTTTTTTTAAAAAAACCTGAAATATCCTGATACTTCCTCTCCTGATCCTGTATCAATCTCCCTGATACTTCCTTTCCTGATCCTGTATCAATCTCCTCAGTCATTGATTTTTTTTAGTCCAATATTCCTGGTGTTGGTTCATGTCTCAAATCTCGTTGTACACTGTACAAGGACAATAAAGGCTATTCTATTCTATTCTATTCTATGTTCTTCTTCTTTTCTTTCTCCTCTAGTGATTCCAAATGTAGATCCCTCTGTTCCAGAGTTAGGAACTGATGTTCAGATGGAACAGAGTCTCAGACCAGGATCACACTGGGACTACTGTTAGACTGAGGGGGAAAATATATCGTTGATTGACTGTAGCATCGCAATATGTCGCAGTATATTGTATCGGTGCCTGTGTATCGTGATGTTTATCTCATCGCCAGATTCTTACCAACTCACAGCCCTAATAATATTTGAACTCTGATCATATGAGATCATTGGCTTCAGTTGTAATATTATTAGTAGCCCTTAATGAAAACAATGGAGTACAAAGTGCAGTACAAAGTGCAGTACTCCTTGGCTGTCGTCAAGTATGGACCGCTCTACTACATACTGATGGCAGTCGTGGTGGAAGTATCCACGAGCTGTTGTGTGCTGTCAATAATTGATGAGAAGAGACAGGAGTGAGAAGGGGGAACGTCCCTGCACGGATATGAGAGGACACAGTGATCTGATTCACTCTGTGTCTACACCCCCCCTCACCCACACCCCCACCCCCTCACCCACCGACCCACAGCGTGTGTCCAGCACTGAGCCCCAGCCTCTTACACTCCTAATGTTCGGTGCCCATTTTTCTGTGTGTTCTGCTGACAGTTCACTTAGCCATGCAGACAGCAACGGGCTCCGAACTGCCAGCCCTCCAGGAGGAGGGAAGGGTGCAGAGAGGAGTGGGGGAGTAGATGGGGGGTGGAAAAGATCCAGTGGCACTAGGGAGAGACAGATATGTTGGGAGAGGTAGAAGCCGAGAAAACTGGAGGTGGGGTTTGGGGGGGTTCGTGCATGCATGCGTGAGAGGCAGTGAGTCAACACATTTCTAATGAGCACACTGACATGATGTGCTGCAGGAAAAAAAAAAAAAGAGTGCTGAACAGCCATTATATATAAAATATGGGCTCCAGCATCTTCTCCACCCTACCCCCCCGCCCACCGCCCCTCATTCTTTCCGTTTCCCCTTCGTTTTTTTCACTTTACACATGACACAAAGACAAAAGACGGAACGTGTGGCATTCAAAGCCCAATTAGATTTCCCAGATTCAGAGCAGGCGGGCTTCCCACAAACGGGATAATTCGACGTGATTGAATCTGGGAACGTTTCCACAATTACATGTAAATGTAACGCTAAAGGTTCAGGGTTACATTCTCTACATTTTCTGTTTGCCTGAGCTATAAAAAAAATAAAAAATCATCCCTGCTGTGATGTGCATAGAATTAACAGTCGACATATGGAGCGATCTCAGAGATCTGGCCGGAGACGGAGATGGTTGGCATTCAGCTGCAGAGGCAGAGTAAACACGGATTCAAAAAGAATACCATCTTGGGTCAAAGCAGTGCCTCTGTGTGGTGGGGGAGCCGGGGGGTGAGGGCAGCCGGGTGGGGGGTGATGAAAGTAGAGCTGCATTCAGTTTAAGGACTCTCTGAATCACACATCTGCCTTTCAGGGGACTTTTTTAAAACATTGATTTAAATGTCAGAAAGTAGTGTGCCCTCTACAGTCTCCAGAATGCCAATGCGACGTCTGCTCTCGGTCCGAGTGCCAAAGGTACTTAATTTATAATTCATTAAAACACAGGAAAGCAGTAGATTATTCTTTTCAAAGTCCGGATTCAGCGATTGTTTTGTAGTTTTTCTGCCTGTTGGTGATGTGCTTGTATAAATGACTATAAAATGAATTTCCTGTCAACACTTTGGCCAATAAATCAGCAGAAGCGTTCAGCTCTCACTACTGCCCTTGGGACGCCTTCATTATTTTTTCCAGGAAAATAAAGAATTACAGAGAAATTGTCCACAGCAGCATAATCAAAGTTTCCTTCAGAGTCCTAATTCCTCACAGCCCTACTTCTAATTATTACTGGGTTAGACGCAGCCACATTATGCATCGCGCACAGAAATAGATTTAGCATAGATTTGTACAGATTTAGTCGGAGCAGCTGGGCCAACAACATCCTTTTCTAACAGGGTTTTTAGGCCACGCTGATCGTGAGTGACAGCTCGCTGCAGACGTCTGTGGGAAACGAGTGCACGGCTGTGGTGAAGTGGACGAACAGACGGCAGTCACAGAAATAGACGCAGGAGCTGAGGAGGAACTTTCCTAGAACCGAACCTTTCTGTGTTTTTTTCTAATTTCTTTAATCTCTGTTGTTGGAGCTCGACTCCAACAACAGAGCTGAGCCACGACGGTGTTGCAACCCTGGGCGGTGGAACGCTCTAATTGACCTACATGGGAAGACAATGCCATCTCTGTGTGTGTGTGGGAAGGTGTGTTCACTGGGTTCCACTGAATTTGTTCCAAGTCAGGCCCAGCTAGCATCAGCAGCTTGTTAACTTCTATTCTCTCAGTGACGCCCGGTTTCACCGCTGTCATCCGACCAGCCAACATTCAGATATCTGCACACAAATTTGCAGACACATATATTCTCTCTCTCTCCGTCTCTCTCTCTCTCTCTCACACTCAGACACACTCAGACAGATTTCTCAACAGCCCCCGGTTTATTCCTGACAGGTTGAGAGTCAGCTTTAACGCTGGAATAATGGTGGCAGGCAGATGTTCCTCTCAGATGATTAGTGTCTAATTCAGTCAAAACAACCACACTTAGCACAGGACGGCTGTTTACTCAGCCCCACATCTGTGTACTACGCTCTGTCAAAACCAGGATATGGATGTCCACGTACTGAATAGCGGTTGTGGCCCACGGTGAAATATCGTGATGCGAACCAAATGTTCTGTGGAGGAAACCTACACACAGCTGCTCCGTTTACCTCCACTCACTGTAATCACAGATAAAAATGTACACGTGGTGGAGAAACATCTAATGAGGAAGTGGAGTCGTTCTTCAGCCTCAACACTTCCAGTTTGTATATGAAAACACATTTTCACACCAAGTCCGTATAAGGCCATCGGTCAAGACGTCTATTAACACATAACATTTCTCTTTAAGGAAAAAAAAACCCCAAAAGAGTCCATTTTTTCTCTTTAAGAAAAAAAAACCCCAAAAGAGTCCATTTTTACTTGTAATGTAAATGTAAAAGCCAAAATGACATTTTAGTTTAATGATGATTCTTCAGCACAATAAACATTTACACAGCTGAGCCTCCAACAGTTCCAGGAACTTCATCAGACCGGAGGAAAAATCCTGTAAATCCAATACAGGCCTCCATGAGGCGGTGCTGTTTATTGATTTGCAACGCTGCCTAGAATGACCTAATACTGCCTGACTGGTTAAAGGGACAGTCTGCTCCGTGCCAGTGGTTTGCTTAGACAAATCTCGTTTATTATTCATAGCGACCTATTTTTCACTGGGTGCAAAGTACAGCTGCTAAACCCTCACCGTGAGTCATTTATTTATTCCACTGAGCCCAGTGTTGCGGTTCAAACTCCACCGAAGGTCTGCGTCATTAAAAACCATTTGAAACCAACTGAACCTCATTGGTTTGAACACGCCTACGACCAGCTCATAACATTCTAATTAGCTATTGTAACAGGAAATTATTTATACCTTAATAGATATAATTACATGGATGACTTTATTACTCCCTGCTGTGATAAGACCATGTGATGTTCAGTTGTAAGTACTGATAAGTGCTTGTCACTGTTTGGATTTTTTTTTTATTCCAATGCCTGTCCAATATAGAGGTTTGTATTTGTACAGTTTTAATTTATAATTTATATTATATTTAATTTATATGAAAAAAAATAGTTTCCAGTTTTAGCTTCTTCTTCATTTTTATTATATCAACCTTCAGAGATGTTGATTTCATCTTCCAGCTCCAGGTGAAGGAGCTGCAGAGGCTCGTACCTAATGTTTGAAGTCACTGAAGCCACAGGGCCAATCAGAGGGCTGCTGGCAGACGGAGCCCCGCTGCCACACATGGCGACAAATGAAAATGTCACGCCAAAGTGAAACATGTCTTTAAGCACCGGCACGCCATTGTTCTCTCTCTCTGTGTGTGTGTGCGTGTGTGTGTGTGAGGTGAGAGCATTAACCTTGTCCGACTTTCATGATGACTTTCATGGCTCGGCTCCTGCACACGCCTCCCTCACGGTTCTCCAGGCCCTCAACTGTGCCATTGGAAGTTGCTGCAGGGGGAGGATGGGGGGGGAGGTAAAAGAGGAGAGGGGGGGAGTAAAAGGAATAAAAAAAAAAACGGGGGAGGCGAAGGGAGAGGGAGAGAAGATCAGACAGTTAATGAGCATGCCCATAACGCACAGAACTAATCAATAGTTACGACAAGCACTGATTAGCTGTTCCGGTGATTAGCTGTTCTCACCCTCAATCAGCTGCCAGCTCTTCTCAATACTAGCTCTCATTAGCACAATAAAGTGAAGTCAAATGAACGCAACGACACTGGAGTGTGTGGAGTGTGTGGCTGAGACCTCAGGTGTGTGTGTGTGTGAGAGAGTGTGAGAGGAAGGGAGTGTGTTTTGGTTGGTACATAGTTCAGCAGTGAGACACAGCAGCGAGAGTTCCAGCTGCTGCCAAGTCCCTGAGCAGCTTATTCCCTCTGAGCCACATGTGTCATTACTGCTGCTGTTGCTGAGAGCTAAATACTTCCTGTAATGTTTGTGCATACGTGTGTGTGTGTGTGTACACGTGATATTTTTACATAATATGCAGAAATATTATTGTTCTGGGGACACTCTGTCCTCGTGGGGACGTCGACCCATTTGTGGTTGTGGCTCGAGCCATAATCCTGTCAAACTGGGAACAAAGGTTCCTTTATTCAAAACAACAACAACAAAAAATAAAAACCCAAAACTCCAAAGTTAAATTAAATTTAAAAATAAAACGACATTTCCATTTAGACATAAATTCAAATAAATCTGAACCAAACAAACTACTGAAAAAAAAATCCATCAGCCGCGGTTTGAGGAACGTTTCTCTACTAAATATAAACACACACAAAAATAACCAACTCCATAATTATTTGACTGGTAAATGTTAATAAAATATCCATACTGTATCGTGAAATGAAATATCGCGATATTTTAGCGTATCGATATTTTCCTACACCCCCAGATATTTACATATTTGTACCAAGTTTTGATGAGAAAAAAAAACAGCCAATCAGAGCATCGTCGGTGTGGAGACGACAACTCGTTAACACCTGCTGACCAAACCAAAAGACACACACACACAGCGCGGTTCGCACATAGGCTACTGTGGTTTCTTGTCGTTTTTGGGCAGTTCGCACGTAGGCTACTGTGGTTTCTTGTCGTTTTTTTTTTTTTTTTCCCGTTCTGACTTGGGTAAGGAGCCGGGGGTCGCTGGTTGTTTATTCAATGTCACACTGACTTCAGACACGCTGACATAATTGGCCGTCTATTTTCGGACCCGTGATAATGACCTAGGGAGACAGAGTGTGACTCTGACCTTTACACTGAGCCGCAGAGCAAAAGGCACTGGGAAGGTGTGCTATTGTGTGTGTGTGTGTGTGTGTTTGTATGAGCACGTAGAGCACGGCTGCTCTAATTTTGGAATTCCCCAAATGTCCATTTCCTCCTAGTCTGCTGTTTCACCCCCCCATCCTCCTCCCTCCTTCTTCTGAACTGCTTTTGTTTCTTTTTATATTATCAGTCTGTTTTTTTTTTAGTTACCTAATTTGTTGTTGTTTTTTCTTCCCCCCACTCTATCTGACTCTTCCCCTCTTCCTTCCTCCCTCTCAGCTCGATGACCATCTCCCGGGTGACTGCTTCAGACGACTCCCTCATTACGATGAGATCATCACGGAGAGAGCGAGCGAGTGTGCTTATCTACTGATGACAACACGAGGCCGATTCGCCTACAGACCGGGTAGGAGTGCATATATCGTTCTTGCTAATCCGCTGACACGTCCCTCCCCGATGTGATTCAACTGCTGTGAACTCATGTTATAACGAGCCGCGCTGAAAACTGGCTCTGCCGCTGACGCCGCCGCTGCGTCACAGACTTGTGCTGTTGATTCATGACTCCTCATTCCTGAACGTCATTGATGCTGACAGTTTGTTGCCTTGTGGGATTCCAGCTTTGTACTCTGAGGCAAACTAATAAACTGCACTAATGTTATGTTTTGCTATCAGATCGTAGCCTTGCTCCTGATTACAAAGTCGACCACAACACGTTGCCAGTGCGGCTGGAAGTATGTGCTAATTTGAGAAAATGATTGTGATAACATGGTGTCAGGAGAGCTTAGACAAATCCAGCCCATACTGTAGACTCAACAGGACTTAGACAAGCCAAGATGTTTATATACAACAGTCTGTCCAGGGCTGAGACCTGGTGCTGTGAACGTACACGTCAGGACAAGTGGCTGTGAAGTTGTTCTACTGTTGGTCAGATTAGTTCTTTCCGTGATGTCGGCATGACATGTTATTTTTCCTAGCAGGATGTTGTGTTTAACAGCCTTGTTCTAAACGTCTGGTTTCTGCGCCTTTATCTTTAAATGCATGCTCCGCCCACCTCTTCGACAGGGGGCGGGCCTGAGGAGACTTGGGTTGTTACAGTTGATTAATGCTTAATTTAGCTCTGTGCTTAAATATCTGCTGTGTGAAGTTTTTTTTTTTTCATACCTGATTGCGATCCGACAGTTGCGGATCAGTTTGTGACGTCACAGACAGTGTTTTTTTTTATATATTTACATTTATGCATTTAGAGGAATGTCACAGAATGGCATGTGTTTTTTTTTTCTATATTTACATTTATGCATTTAGAGGAAGCTTTTATCTAAAGGGACTTACAAGGGGAGGATTAATAATCAAACATGTGGTTCTCGGTCTCTGCCTCTGAACCCGGCGATCTAACCGCTCCACTATGGCACACACTAAGAAATCTGAACAAATCAGGACACGGGCGATCTAACCGCTACACTATGGCACACACTAAGACACGTGTCCTGATTTGTTCAGATTTCTTAGTTGTTGAAACTCACAGATGAGAAGTAGAAAAATATGTTGACTTTCTTCTGACTCTAGTCCTACATCGGTGCTGCCACCAGTCTTTACCTCATTCAGGGATTTCCCCCCAAACTCCCAGCCCCTTCTTACAATTATAAACTATTAGCACAAGGTTGTACAAAAATGGCCTTTTTCATAGATCAAGCTCAAAGGCAGTGGAATTATCTGACTAAGAATGAGCTCTGGATTTTATATCTACCCAGGGAAAGCAAATCTTCTCCGCTCTAACTTATTCCTGTCATCTAAATGAACTCCTCCTTTCAGACTGTCGCATTACTCACAGTGTATGGCTGGATGACGGGTCGGCCTCTGGAGGAGTGTGTTTAGACTAACAGCTGAAATGGTACTGGATTTATCAAGGAGTGATCAGTGTCCATGTTGTTTGTGTTGAGGCCGTTCAAAACGTCAAATCCTTCAAGGTCCTGACTGTACTCCTGGAAATTCATAATGTGATTATCCGTGTCCAATTTTAACCACATTTCCTGATGTGAATGCGTCCTTTAAGGACTATTCATGATGTAAATCAACTGCAGGAGTCAATGTTGAGTGCATTAAAACGCTCTCCGAAGATGTCTTCTCTAGAGTACCTGTACTTTGTCTGTGTTTGTCGTTGAAATCCGTTTTTGATATCGTCGTATTTATATCCCCCCATGTCAAGAATTCACTTAAAAAAGATGGACTGCCAGCCACATGTGCCAAATCTATAATCCAAGTCCACATCAAGGACACGCTGCCAGCTTTTTCTTTAATCTCAAAGCTTTTTACTTACTCTCTACCTCCTCTGTCCCTGGACTCAACCGTCCTCCCTCTAATTCTCTGCCTCCACTCTCTGTCTATCTCTCTCTCTCCTCATCTCGCTCTCATTTCACCCTCAAATACTGATGTTAATCCAAATCTGGATTTCCAGACATTAAAAGGTCGACAGCTAATGTCATGTTTTGGAAAGAGGAATCTAATGAAACCGGTTCCTTCCTTCCTGTATTTCTTAGTGCAGATTAAAAATAATAATAATAATAAAAAATAAGGGGACAATGTAACAGCGGGGTGAAGAACAAAGCAACGAGTCTGCCACTAAGGATTAAGTGGAGAAAATAGTTCAACGCTAGCGTCGCAGAATACAAAAAAAAAATAGTCCTTTTCTTTTTCTTTTTTTTTTTTTCAAATAAAGCTGTCGTCTCCGAAGAGAGTTTGGGTTAGATTTAGGGCTTTTTTGTGGGTGTGGATCATTGGACTCAGAGTGACTAGTGGGAGAACAAAAGATCTCCAGCTGCTGAAGTCATGAGAGAAACCAGTTGCCAAATGTCAATGTTGGGAAATCGCTAAAGAACAAAGCAGGAGCCAAAAGAGAGCCGTATAAGGAGGAACGCTGGCCTCCGAGAAACGCTCCTGTCTCAGCGCTGTACGCAGATCTGTGCTACTAACACATTAACAAGGCCTTGGAAATGCTCACACCTGCACATGTGAATATGCACAAAGATTTCGCAATGACATTTGGGGCAGAACGGAGGGACCGCTCCCAGAGGTGCTCAGAGGAGGAGGAGGAGGAGAGTGGGAGATGTGTGTGAGAGATGCAGTGCTGGCTGCTGGAGGAGGAGGAGGAGAGTGGGAGACGTGTGTGAGAGATGCAGTGCTGGCTGCTGGAGACGACAAACACACACAATCTGAGTGTGAAGCGGTGGTCTATATTTATTCTCAGGTTTGCTAAATGAGGTCACTCAGGTGGTCCTGCCGAATACATTCCCCATCTCCATCATGAATCATCTACTACTTATTATTCCTGGCCGGCCCAGGGGAGGCTTGTTTTTCGTACAGTGCAATGGGGGCTGTGGATCCCTGCATGTTCCTGGGCTCCAGTGTCTACGCGGGCGCGCGCACGTTCACGTGCCTACGGCGCCGAACGAGGAGATGGATACAGCCCATGTGACAGACAGAGAGCAGGTTGTTTAATGAGAAAGTGGATGAGAGGTGACATTCATTGGCTACCTTTCACACACACTCGCTCTCTCTCTGTGCCTGCTGCTGCACAGCATTCAGACCTTCACTGAGACGAGCCAGCAGGAAGTGGCTACTCCCAGTCACCACCGCTGCTGCAATGTCCGAATTAAACAAGAGAAGAGAGGGGAGGAAAAAAGGCTAAATACTCGAGC